CCCTTCGGAAAAAACGGAGGTAATTTTGGGGTAGTTAGGTTTGGGGTTTGCGGAGGACTTAGCAAAGCTGGCAGGTAGAATGGTCGATAGGGAAGGAGGGTCGCACCAGAGCAGCAACTTTCGAAGGCGGGTCTTGTCTTGCGAAATTTTCTCTTTAACGGCAAGACGTGCCCCGCTTAGGACAATATAATCACTTACCGACGTTACAATGAACTTTGCATTCACTGCTAACTTTGCGATTCCGGCCATTACATCGAGTGCATCTCGTTCTTCCGTAGACGACAACCCTTCCATGAAACCAAGCAAGCCGTCAAAGGACTTGATCCACGGAGCACATTCTTTTAGAGTGACCTTGGAGAGGGTTTTTTTAGTTTCACAGTGCCTCACAGCTTACTACCGCCAAGCAATCAGTTCTTAACACAAAAATGAAAGTAAGAACGAATGGCCCACTTACAATTACTGCTTCAATACAGTGCGCTCCATCGTGTACAAGTGCACGGAGGGCTCTGTCGATGATGATATGCCTACAGGATAAACGTTCAATAGAAAAATGGATGCGTGGCTAAATTATTTGACACTATGCAACTACAACTGTCCCAAAATTTCGAATTTCCTCCTCGCTGAAATAATGGTTGCATGGTTTTTAAAGCACTATGGTCACGAATATGACATTGTTTGTGGCAATGACGCTGGCGTTACCACTTTCAGCAAAAGAAAATAATCCAATCGCAGGCAAATGCGGGCTTAGTGGGGGGGGGGCACCAAGTGACATTCAGCTAAGCTCGCACGGGCCACTTTGTTAAGAGCCGTTAATTCCAGAGGCCGAAGGCTCACTCCCACCATTTCGCTTCACGAGGTTCACTGGTCTTAATTAAGTGAGGCCTGTTGGTCAACGAGAACTAACAGAACGGGGATCCCTCCCATCAAAATCAGCCTTGGCAAGGCCCAGACAACAGACAATGCCCTGCCTTGCGCCTTGCCAGAAAGGACCTTCTCGCCCATAGTAAACGCAAAAAAACCAGTGCGCATGGTTACCACTTTCGAAAGAGAAATATAGCACTAAATGGAGCGCTGGCTTCTGCGATAACGGGCGAAACGGATCATCTGTGCTTTGGAGTGTATTCCTTTCCCCAATATTTGTTTTTCTTTGTTTCTAATTTGAAGCTAGTGTCGTTTTCGTGATCAGGACACTAAGAGCGGCGTTCAGAACTCGCGAATCGCGAGCGATCGATCGCTGAAATCTGCGCGATCGATCGGCGCGTTGATCGCGCGAATCGCATCGCGCGATGGATCGCGGATTGGATGGCGTCGATTGGGATCGCGCGATTCGACTCGCGCGATTGGAATCAGCGTGATCCGATCGCGCTATGGGGGTGAAATTAACTGCGGAAGGGGGTTATGAGTGGTATATGTTTTTATTGATCGCTGCCTCTTCTCTTCTTGTCTTATCTTACTTTGTGATACATAAACGGAGCCTCTTATTTGAAAGACACCGTTTAAATATCTTGAGTTATTTATTAATTTCCATATGTAAAATAAGTACTTAAATATAACAATATGCTAATTATATAATATCTGAATTTTGCATTTGAGTACGTTCAAGCGGAATGTTGAACATCTTGTTCCAAAAGTAAGACACGCAGAACTTTTAGCAGCGGGTGATGTTGTTTCTCTCCCTTCCCCCATTTTGCCAGTCCTCCAGATATTCATCTTTGTCAGCATGTGTTTTGCTTTGTTTGTTCTGCCATCCTCCAGGTCTATACACAACCTTTCCTTTCAACGGTTTCTGCAAACGTCAGTATTGCGAATATGAACACGGAATAAAAGACATCAAAAAGGTCGAACTTACTTTTATATCGTTTTTGGAACTGCCTATCGGAGGCAGGATACAGCATTGTGATGTGACGAAATGTGATATTAGTAGGGGGGGGGGGGACGCTCCATTCCCAGAACTTTAGTTGTTGTTGTTTGTTGAGTTGAGTTGAACATGAACGAACGTGACCCCCTCCCGCAGTAATTTCACCCTCAGTAGCGCGATCGGATCGCGCGATCCAATCGCGCGATCCGATCGCGCGATTCGATCGCGCGATCCAAGCGATCCGATCGCGCGATCGCGAAGTCTGAACGCGCTCTAAGATAAGCGAAACCACTGTGGGCAGAGCTCTGTGGTGCCCGACAGCGAAAAAAAAGCTTGGGGTAAAAATAGTTGAACAGTGCCAATTTCTCAAATTAATAAATGAACTTTTCTTGCGTAGTCTCGACTGACTGATGGAATCCGTTATTTATATTGGCCGTTGACCAGGGCAATCGAACAAATCCCATTGGATTGTCAAAGCTCAGACACGGATCGCTACACTGTTCTGGCATAGGCTTCGGCGGTATGTCTAAATAACAAAAGGTAATCTAGGACCCCACGCACTGGATGATATTTGAACAAAAAATCCTGAAGTCCATACGTACCATTTCGTAACGTCTCAACTTGGAAAGCACAATAATCCACACCAGACACGAGCCCATTCAGATTAGGGAAGACCTCTGAAAACCACGATGTAGAAACAAATAGCAGTACTCTTGTTCGCTGCGGAAGAAGGAGCGTGTCAGGCAGGATGGGCTTGGCAAAGCGCCAAACGCGTTATTCACCGATTACTGAAGCTCGTAGGCGACAACAATTGGTGGTTACGGCCAGTACGGACGATCTGGTACAGACTTGTCGCTTGTTCACTTCAATATCGGTGGAGAACCGGTTTGACGCCTTGCCAAACCCTTCCTACCTGACACGCCCTTTTATCCGCAGCAAACAAGACTGTAAGTTATGAATTTCTGTGGGAATCCAGCTCTATTCAACGAGAGTATTCCCCAAACATACCGTAGTTATTCTTTCTTTTGGCAAGAATTGTGCTGTGCCGTTGTTCGTTGCTCAAGGCCATTTTGCGTGGGGAATACAGTAAGGTTGCTGTTAAGCACCTCGATCTGAACAGAAACGAAACAGTTGCTATTCGCATAGCGACATCATGCAGAGAAGACGACAGCTGCAAAGTGAAATTACACGAAAACAGGGCAAAGGTGATGAGGCAACATTTAAAAGACGGAACGGCACAGAAAATGCAGAACATGGTGCACAATCGGAGCTATCCCTGGCTATCCAAACCTATGCTCTTGAGGTTACAACCGAGCGAGGCTTATGCAAAGAAAAACAAACCACTTCATTCTATCAAGCAAGACTACGATGCAATTATATTGGCTGGACATTCTAAGAATTACTTTAAAATTCAATTCTATCGAGAATCCAGCAATCGTCAAGGCAGTGAAGTAGAACAGTGAAGTTGAACTGTTACTGATTGTTTCTCGACCACTTTCTGATAGATTTTTTTGGGCATTTTGCACTTTTGCTACTTCCCATCCGTGTCGACCCATCTAGACAGCCTCTTCTCGAGTTGACAGGTTTTACCATGATGGCTTGACGAGCTTGCTCCAGCTTCACAAGAGTTCACAGGTTTCACCAGAGTGAGACTTGTAAACCGGAACTAGTGAAGCAGCGAAAGTGCAAAATGCCCCCGTCGCCAAATTGTGCCGATTTTTTAAAATTAAACCCAATTTCTTCGAAATTTGCCCTCGGCTCGCTTAATATTTCTTTCAGTTCCCTGGGCACATCATCGAGTGGAATACCATCCCTGCCACAAAAAGAGACTTTCCAAAAAACGCCGTCGAGTGACGAGGTGAGCGGTGGGGAAGGGAGAAAGAGGTCGAGAGAGATTCATGAGAACAGAGCGAAAGTGAGAGAGCAAGAGAGATCTGACTGATGATTGGAGGTGTAGTAATCGCTTGAAACATCCGACTAGAGAAGCAGGCGCTGTTCGGTTCGGGGAGACTAGTCCCTTTCACTAGTTCATTTTCACTAAATACTTTTGCTAGTTCATGTTAACTAACAAGTTTCTCTTTGGTAAGCCCTGCAAATTCTTGTGAAGCTGCGAAATGGTACTTGTGAGCCACTTTTGTAACAGGAATTTACAAGAGGGTATCTGACAAGGGAATCGTAATTTATGGCGCTGGTAGGCGTCGCGTGCGACGTCGCGCCCGCAAATGACGATGGTTCAGGTAGTAGATGGCGACAACAGGCAATTCAGAACCGAAAATAGTCATGAATGTCTACGATGACGGGGTCTACATGAAGTCCGGTGCTCCAGTCGACAGGTTAACACGAGTTAAGAAAACGCCGCGCCTATCGCCGCGCGCGGCGGAGCGGCAAACTACGATTCTCTTGCCTGTCCAAGCTTAGTTCGATACTATTCTGTGTACCAATGAAGGCGAACAACGCTATACATCAAAGTAGGAATATCAGCGCTGACGCAGTGTGGGAAGGGACCACGCGGCCAAAAGACAAATTCCAACAAAAGTCAGCTGCTTTTCCAAAGGAGAGACCGCGTTTCAAAAAGTGAGGCAATAAAGTACAAACACTGCCAAAAGAATTAGAGCCCACTATCGACTCTTACAAATCACAGACTCTCTGGAAACTGAGACCATATAGGAGCTTTCCCATTCAAACTCTATAGTTATTGGCACACGGCAAAATCAGGAGGAGGAGCGAATCTTTTCCCCAGGTCAAATTAGCCTATCACATCTCGGAATGATTGTGGCTACGTGGCTGCTGGCCTTGAAGAGTTTTACCTATTTCACAGGAACAACCAATACCTATTTTGACTTTCTTTGTTCTGTTTTCCGAGGGAAGAAAAAATCAAAAAAGAACATAAAAAGTGACACAATAAAAAATGCAAAAAAATTCATGCTCATCTAAATAGGTGCAAAAGCTGAAGGGGTTCACTCACTTAGTCGGGGTTCTTTCTATCGTTCCCAATATCACAATGTCATCCGAGCTGGCTGGCGAAGGAGTCTTCCGAACAAGTTCTCTCTCAGTAGTGACCGTATTCTGGGAGGAGAATATCACACTTTGAGAACTTCGCGACTCCTCGTTATCACAAGCCGTTGCAACTGAACTACTCTCAACTTCAGCGTGAACACTGATAAAACGAGAGCTATTCCTATCATTCATATGGACTGATTGGACACTGCACAGATTTCCTTCAAACTGTTAAAGAGTCATACCACCAAGTTCATCACTCCTGTCGCTGCTGTCGTCGTCGAGAATGATCTCAGCCACCTCAGTGTGACTCCTGGAACAAGCATCTTGAAAAATGGTAAGGCATAGAGCAACTTGAACCCCTCTGGCCGCACTATTGAGTTTACCTCAATGATATCAAAACAATGGAATTTCTTTCAAGGAGAGGAGGGAGGCAAGCGCTGAGCGGCTATGGCTATGACGACTCTAATCACTCATGTGCGTTCTACCTAGGAGACGAAAAGGGACATACAGGTACCGCCGTATGCTCCTCTCCCCAAACTACGCTGGCGTCGAAATATGACACATGTGCGACACTCTCGCATCAAACTGTCCTATTACCCCGCTTGATCTAGGTCTAGCGATTGCGAGGTGAGGTTCGCGATTGCAGTCCCTGTAAAAAGGTCACAGGAACGAGTATGGAAGACAATGATGCCCAGGTACCGTCACCATACTCCGTCCGCGCTGCCGCACAGCCAGTTACGCGCCTACCCATAGCCAAACGCGCTATTTGTCTGTGCTTTCTCGCGTCTAGTTGTTCTCCACTACGTGACTGCGATTCACTGCAGGATCGTGGTACCGACGCAAGCCGTGCACAGGCAGAGCATGGACTGGCACCCGAGTACCGCTATCCACCAGCCCCCATTTCCGTGCACTTTGAGCGAAGAAAATGGCAGGTATATACACTTCACATATCAGCTATGGAGTGGCCTTGGCTGTGTTGTTTGCTTGAACAGCCAGTGCAGAATGCGTTGCTTGTGTAAGATTTTCATATGATACCGAGGTTACCACATGCGCTAAAAAGTCATGCTTGCAACTCTTGAAATGAAACTCTTGAAATTGTGATATCCCTCCAGAAGCGCAGTTGTTGCTACATTTGTACGGAGTACGCAGGCCACGGACTCCCAGCCCTGGACCCTCGCAGCGAGAGATCGTTTGGTTGACATCTGCCCCGTAACCGATGTGGAGTGTACATGGCACGGGCAGTCCTCGTAGATGAGTGCACAGTTTGTCATGAGGAAGCAAAGTCTTCCCGATCGTGTGTGAAAAGCGCACATCTCCACCCATAGAGAACGTGTCATTTTCATCATACGCGGCAGAATTCTAGGAGCTTTGGCTTGCCAGAAACCCGCCCAAATTAAGTTAAAATGCCCATGGTTAAACCACTGCTGTGTCGCTCTGCCTTGCGCTTGTCTAGTCTCTCACTGATTGCTATATAATCATCACATGCTAGTCCTGTGCTCAGAGTCAAGCGAGCCTTAAGTAGGGCATTTACCAGTTCTCCTGCCTTACTCCCTACTTATGGATCCACTAGGGAGTACAAGTTCATATATGGACCCCATTACTACCGACCTGCCGTAAGGGAAACTGTGTTTGTTCATGAAAAGCAATAGAGCAAAAGTAACAAGATTAGATAGACTTACTCGCTAAGTAAGCCTTGCGCAGCAGCTGCTGCCAATCCAGATGTAGATGGTTGGCTCAGATTGTGGATTAGATCGTGGTCCTCAGGTGTTATATCCAGATCAAAAACACTTGTCTCACCATCTGTTTTTCTTCGACGAATCACGGGCGTCGTAGTGATGCCGGCATCGTCATTGTCAAACTTGAAGCTCAGAGGAGAGTAGGACCGATGACGTGCAACTTTCCTTCGTGGAGTGCTATACGCTGTTCGGTTATAATCGGTGTCTTGATAATCATCCACACTCATGGATGAGCGTATTTTCTGAAGAATCCTTGGTGTGGACAACCTTGATCGTTTCTTTGTCCGCGAAGCGGGTGTTTTATGGACTTCCAGCACTTCCAGGTCTCTTGCCACTTCTTCAATAGGGGTTACCGATGCTGAATCCGCTTCGTTTTCTCCATTTGTATTGTGAGGAGCAGTTTCGTCGTTTGAATCGACAACATCCACTTTAGGTTCGGGTGTGGGGCTCTTCTTCCGTTTTGCTCTACTAGGAGTTCCCGATGCCTTCATCGATTGGATCAGTTTTCCCTTTTTGCTCGAATCACTGTCCTAAACAGATATGTTTGAAATAAAGAAGGGATCAATCCGTCAAGTAACTAGGGTTTAAAAAAGTGGAGGTGCTCTACAAAACTGGACAGAACATTTCCAGTAGAATGCCGATTTAGCATACGTGGGTCACCCAGTGTCTCACCTTTTAGGAGGTAGGAACGTGTCGCTCAACATCTTAATGACGCGGTTTGAGACATCGCCGAAACATATATAACAGGGACTTCTAACACG